TGCACGTGCTAAGGTACGGCCGCTATCAACATGAAACAAATTATGTTGCCGACTGCAACCGCGCCTTCCGACGGGTGGGAGTTCCGGTCGGTCAGGGACAAAGATTACACACAGCAGATTGTGTAAGAAGAGGGAATCGACAGAACCTTTTAAAGTTTTGAGGCAAATGGTAAGCTGATCCAACAATCTTCTTACCTCCAGGGAATTATAGCCGAGATGGCCGAGCAGAAACTTGGTTGGATAGCGAGACGGATAATACCCGTAGAATTTCCTATAAAATGCTCTCAAGAAGGCTTTTTGGACCCTCTCGAGCATCTGCACATAGGTGACATGATGTGGGTTCCAAACGCAAGCGCTCGTTTCAAGCTTGCTTCTAACCAAAGAATTGTATAATGTTTTAAAGACCTGAGGATTTTGAAAGTCTTTGGCATTTCGTAATACAAAGCCTAAATGGCGATAAGAATCCTTGACAATATGAGTTATATGATCATGGAAAGTAAGACCACGATCAAATATAACTCCCAAATCCTTAACATAGTTGACCCTGTTAATGCATAAGGTATTCATGTTATAAAAAAATTTTATTGGATTATTTTTACGGTCAAAAGTCATAACATTACACTTGGCATGGTTAAATTGGATTTTGTTTAACACAATCCATTCATAGATTCTGTCGATGTCCTGCTGTAAAGAGAAGCAGTCACAAGGAGAGTGGATTTCAAGAAATAGCTTTAAGTCGTCGGCGTACATGAGGCATTTTGCAGTACTTAAGATTTTAGGTAGATCATGGATCATAATCAGAAAGAGAAGTGGACCAAGGACTGAGCCTTGGCTGACACCAGATCTGGTATGATATTCCTCGGATATCTGGTATGATATGCATCGAAAGCCAATTCATACGTAAGTATCAATGAATCAGTGTAGTCATGGTTTCCACCAGTAGTCGCAAGCTGACCATATTTGCATTCTTACCTGTGGGCCTCCCATCAATAATGACTCGTGTTTTCAGTTTGCGCATCAGAGCCCAACAAGCCAGCGCAGCTGAGCGTGCAACAATATAATACGATATTCGACCATAAGATATTACGCCATCAGAGATAAGAAGCCCAAAGGATCAATTGTTGCTTGAAGCTATCACGGTGCCAGAGCAACAGATCTCAAACATAACGTGATGTGAAAAAATTGATGTATGTTATAGTTTTTGTTTTTGTATCTGCAAAAAGTAAGTTTTTACATGTTTTTTAAAAGTGGCAATTGTTTTTAGATCACGCACTGGTGGAGGGAGATCGTTCCAGCACCGTGAGGCTGCAAAACGAAAGGCTCCACGAAATGCTACTGTACGATGTTTTACAGTTACAAAGACATGACTGCATTGTCTGACTGGGTACCTATTCCGATCACGAGTCCAATTTAGCTTATCATAAAGGTATGTTGGCCTTTCTGCATCTATGACACCATACAATAAGGTTGCAAGGTGAAGCCTCCTGCGTGCCTGCATCTTCAGTATATTGGCAGCATTTAAGAAGGGATATGTGTGCGAGGAGGCACATGAAAACAGAAGCGTGCGCAGGCATTCGGCACACGCTGCACAAGCCTACTTGTTTTGGACATAAGGCATGGTCCATAGACAATGTCACAATAATTCATTTTAGACAATACAAGCATCTCACACAGTTTGATCCTCAGTTCCTCACATAGATAGGGCCTTATTTTGTACAACAATTTTAATCTATAGAAACAGGTGCGGGCACACTCTGCAATGTGACTTTCAAAGTTCAGGCACTCATCCATCAATAGTCCCAAATTTCTTGCTTTACTTACCCGTTCAACTTTTTCCCCACTTATCGTTTCATTGAAAGAAACATTATTTAAGTAACTGACGCTCTTTTTTGACCCAATTAACATTACCTTTGATTTTTTTGGGTTAAGAACTAGGCAGCTAGATTGGCACCATTTAACTATCTGTTCTAGGTCCTCATTCACCCTCATTACAGCACTGGCATAATCAGCTGGTTTAAAAGAATAAAGAAGCTGTAAGTCATCTGCATACAGATGATATTGGCAGTGACTAATGCTATCTATGATGTCAGCGCTGTACAGAATGAAGAGTATTGGCCCCAAAATAGATCCCTGAGGCACACCACGGGTTACCGGTAGCCTGTCAGATTGCAACCTGGATCCGTCCATGTTATTCAGTTCTACATACTGCTGTCTATTTATCAGGTAACTATGGAACCATTTTATAGCACTGGCATTGATTCCATAGTAAGTTAGCTTCGATAACAGAAGATCCGTATTTATCGAATCAAATGCACGAGAAAAATCAAGCAGCAGCAACATACCAATATTCCCTTGATCCCGGGCTGAAATAAGGATATCCACAACATCTGCCAGGGCAGTTGCTGTGCCATACCCTCTGCGGAATCCAGACTGTCGCTTTGGGAGGATGTTATTTGTCTCAAGGTAATCAGTTAGCTGCTCGCAGACAATCTTCTCCAATACCTTTGAGATAACAGGAAGCAGGCTGATTGGACGAAGATCCGTCATGGCAGTTGGGTTGTCGTTTTTTGGTATGGGCCTAACTATAGCAATTTTCCAGCTATCAGGAAAAATGCCTTCTACCAAAGATCTGTTTATTATTTCGGTGATAGCAGCCAATGTTTGTGGCAGCGTCAAAAGTATCATTTCAAGTGAGAGACCGTCATGACCTTGAGCATTTGATTTAAAACTTTTAATGATTTTTAAGACTTTGTCATTGGTCACAACCTGCAAAGAAAAAGTTGCAGAGCCATGCCTATGGTGTTCAAAATATGTAAGCTGGGATATGGTTACTCGGCCATCACCTGGAATATCGAGAAAATGAGCATTGATTTTATTAGGATCGTTAAAACTGATTGGTAGATGTGCTTCTCTCCTAGAATTGTGTATTACATAACTCTTTAGATTCCGCCATAAATATTTTAAGTTGTTACAGTGCTTATTGATGTGATTGGCAAAAAATGATTGTTTTTCCCTCTCTATGGCTGTTACCACTAGTTGTTTTAAGGTTTTGTAACAGGTTTTTAGGGTTTCGGTTTTCTGTTTTTTGTATCGTTCATGATAGTTATTTCTGATGTGAATCATAGATTTAATTGAGTCTGTTATCCATGGATGTGGAGGATGCTTGAACTTTTGTTTTCTTAATGGAGCATGCAGATCAAACAAAGTAGTCAAACAAGTGGAGAAGACATCAACCAGATCACTTTGTAAAAATAATTCCAGTCGATGGCATCCAAATCTCGGACTAGTTGTTCCAAAATAATATTTTTCATCGGTCTAAAAATAACCCATTTTGGACATATTGGTTCAGATTCTATTTTGAACTCAGCCGAGATCATTGCGTGTCGCCCCAACTCAGGGGTATATTTGACTATTACTTTAAGGGTAGGGCTGTCAGTGCAAATTACATCTATAAGGCTCTCGCTGTTCTTTGTAAAGTGTGTAGGTTTACTTATTATTTGATTTAGGCCGATACATTGCAGGAACTGTGTAAACTGCTTGGACTTCACGCTGGCTCCGTCAAGGAGGTCAATGTTGAAGTCACCAAGCAGTATCAACGCATCTCGATTAGAGAAGGAGGTGACGGAGTCAGTGATAGCATCCAAAAACTCCCCAACATCTTGCCAGGGCGGTCTATACGCAGTGCCAATAACTACCTGCTGCCCATTAATGCGAACATTTAGCCACATCTGCTCGATTTCCTTGTTGATAGGACACTGTCGGAAGCGAACACCGACCCCATTCCGAATATAAAAACCTACCCCACCACCACGGCCACCCCTAACATGATCAGACCGGGGGATATGCCTCAAGGAATATCCCGGAAGTTTTGGCGCTTTGTCATTTTCTCCTGTTCTCAACCAAGTTTCATTTATTGCCAGAATATCCAACCCCATTTCCTCCACGGCTACAATGAACTCATCATGTCCAGTGCCGAGTGAGCCCGCATTAAAGAGACCTACTTTAAGATTTTTAGTCTTAGGCATTTGAGATAATAATGAATACTATAAAAGAAGTAACATGAAATAATAATGTGAGAACTGTGATCAATAAATGATTTTGTGACATATCCATCAAACAACCCTGGGACTTACATTGAGCAACGTATACAGTCTGACACAATAATTTAGTATTAAGCTTCTTGTACCCGTCACAGATTTGACATAAGGACCATTCTAATACATCATCGAAGTGTAAATACATATAGTTTTTGTCTTGTTTATAAAAGTCACTTATCTTATTTAAACTACTAATGTTAACTATCTTTACTTTAACTTTTTTATGTATAATAGACCCTATGACTACAGCAGTGACTATTTCGCGCTTTAAATAAATAAATAGAAAATGATAATAATGAATTTCAATTTTTAAGCCTCTCTTGTTAAATGAGCATGTTATACTAGAAATACTACATATAAATATAAAGTCATTACAGGTCAACTTCAGTCAAACCTTGGGAGAGCCAAGCACACGATCGACATCCGAGTATGATCTAATCTGATACACTGTTGAGCCATCCACTTGGCGTACATAAATGCGCCCCCGCTTCGTCCATGCGTAACGCCACTGAAGCTTTTTGCATTCTTCACGGACAAAATGGAAGAGCTGTCGATTATGGCGGGTCAGCCGCTCATTGATGAAGACGCGGCCCTCACTAGGACCGGTGACAGTACGACGGACGCGCGCTGAAGTAAGCAGCTCGTCGCGCAGCTGGCGCCGCGCCAGGCGCACCACCACACGTCGTGGCCTCCCACCGGCCTCGGCCGGTGGCGGCCCCACGCGCTCCGCAAACACTACATCCCGCTGCTCTAATGTAACGCCTAACCGCGCGGCGAGAACGATGACCGACTGAGTCACACTCACTCCTTTCTCTTCTGGTAGTCGACCGATCTCCAAATCTGACAGAAGTGCCTCCTGATCGCGGTCGTTAAGTTCTTGTTTCAACTCAACTACGGTACGTTTCAACTCGGCTGTCTCCTCTGTCTCTCAACTGCCACCAACCTCTGTTCGACGTTATCTAGTCGCACTGATAAGGATTCTCGTAACAACGTCATTTCCTTTCGAAACTCTCGCATCTCCGCCATGAATTCGGCCAGCTCCCTGTCTCGTCGATCCTCTTTATTGCCTGATAGATCGCCCGATACACCTGTTTGAGATGATGATTCTGTCGCCGAAGGAGTGACACCCAAGCTTCTCACAGGTGTATGGCTATTGTCGCCCCTCTGAACACTTTTTGTGCAGCCAGGACAAACCCAGTCCTTATTTATTACTGCTTTCTCGGACAGCCCCAGGCATGCCTTGTGATATCTAATAGCGCAGCTAGAACAGGCAGCGCTACCTGTCGTCGAAACAAATTTCTTGCACGCCCCACAGTGTAACATAATGGCGAACGCAGTCTACTTCGATCAATTGCAACAGTTAACCCTCTCACCACTAGATGGCGCTCTTTCCTGCTTCAACTCGATCGACTCACTATTGGGATATGACTATGGTTGGAACGCTAGATGGCGCGAGAGTTATCCTATGTTGGAGGCAGACGTAGATATTACGAAAAAAAGCTTTACCTTCTTTAGAATGTAAACAAAAATCAGCTGATTAGAATTTTCAAATAACACGTCGGAATCAGCTGCAACAATGACACCAACAATTCCACAGCCAAATCTCCAACACTCGAACAAGACAAGTGACACTCTGCACAGATTTACTGAGTTTTAAAATTATTTAAGCAAGAAAAACGAACACAGTGACTTGTCGTAACAACGTCCGAGACGTCACCTCCACTTAACTTTTTCTTCACCTTTTACTATGATTTTATACTTATTTAAATAAGGTTTTATTAGTCTACTGAATTCTCTATAGTCAATATTACCTTCACTCCACCGGTACCCTCTATTTCTTACTATACACCATACATGTTTTCTTTCTTCAAGGGTCAGAGTAGAGTATGGATAAGGTGGCTTTATCAAAAATATTTGAATATGTTCCGATGTACCTATGACTAATTCTTTTAATATAAATTCATTTTTTACGTTTTTGAAACCTTGCACATCTACTATAATAATAGAATTCATGATATTTTACGAACTATATTACTAAGAGGTTTATATTCCACCATGCAATCATTTAAAATTAAACAATATGCTGACGTCTGGTCCGGTATCTCCTTATGACTCTCTAACTCTAAGCGAATATTAATAACGGGTCCTGTTTTTATATTAACGTTCTGTCTTGAACAATCGATTACAAATAATGGTGCATATTCTCTAAATTGTTGAACACTTAATAAACAACTTGATTTACGTGAATAATAAGACTGTTGAAAGTTTGCGAATTGTTCATATATTAAAGCATAGTTATGCTTCGCGAAGTCGGTATTATAGCTTTCATATGGATAATAAATAGAATTTAAATAAACCTTTACATCACGTAGATTACAATGATCAAATTGGTACATATCTTTTGATCCATTATTTTTTCTGTTAGTTTACAAGCCAAGAATAACATACCTAGGTTTTTCAATCTGAGTAGAAGTTTTAATTGACCATGTATGTTTAGTGATCTTTGGTAGCATTGGGTATTCGTAAAGATCCCAGTTCCGAAACGTTAATTGAATTGGTTTATCTTTTTCCAAAATTTTAATTAAATTGATTTTTTCTTTGTCAGATACTTTGACATGAGGAACACGCCAAATTATATTATGTATATCAATGCTTTTTATTACTTCATCGTTGTCAAGTTTTAAAGCATTGAGGTTTGTATTGCTTCGTAATAGAACAAGCTCATGTTTACAATTCGCTATAACTTTTTTTATAATCTTCAACAAATCCTAGTATGTTACTTAATGGAATTGATGCAGAGCAGTGACCACCGATAGTATTTTTTAAACCCTGTGTATTCCAACACCATACTTCAGATATCTTCGATTCAGTTTCATTCATGGAGAGTAAAGATTTCATATTCGTTGTTATACCAGCATTTTTCACTTTGTCTATTTCAACACCATTTAATTCAATTAAGTATGTCTTGAAACAACTACATTAACGCGTTATTAGTCAAATGAAAAGATGGCACTTTTTCTTTTGTACCATTGTCTTCAAATTTGATCACATTTACTACTCCTTCAATATACAAGATGCTTGCACTTGGAAGCACATATAAGTCTTGTTGATTTATCAGTATTCTTATTTTATAATTTCTATTGAAACTTGTTATATATGGTTTATAAGAATGAGTTTCTATGCACTCTATAGAGTTGTCATAAGAAGGCGGATTTATTATATTTAGAATATTCATTTTAACAATCCGATTAATCTCGAAAATGCATCATTTTGTGGAGTTAGTTTAATATTAGCACAAGAATGTGTGTTCTTGCGAACGGATCGAATACCACTCAACTTCTGACTATGAGATGAAAAGTTTTTATGTACTCCATCATATTTCTTTATATGTAAGTATAAATTCACTTCTTCTCCTGGAAGATCAACTGGATTATTATAAATGTCTTATATTCTTATGGTGATACTATTGATAGTATCTCTGTTTACTGGAAAATATATAGTATTCTTTGGTATTTCTATTATTCTGTAACCCGGAGGTACTGTGGGTGCAAACTCATGTAATATGTGATTTGGTTTTCCGTTTATATAAGACCCGCTTATGATATCACATTCGACTCTCACCACAGTCGTTGATAAAATGTTTACGGGAAGAGGTGACTCATGTAATATATGACTTTTTAGGACTTCCTTACCATACACCAAAAATTCTCCGAAGGAACCGTGTTTTTCAAAATTAATATCTTTAGTACAGAATATAGTTGTCTTAAGTATATTGTAATTGCAATATAACTTTAAATCACAATCTTTTACTTTAAACAGTCGTAAAGATCTTGAAGTTCACAAGCTCCTTCAGGAATCTTGACCACTTCATTAGTACCATAGTGAAATTTGTTATTAGCTTTAGAGATATTCGGTATAGAATTAAAAGTAGAGAAAAGCAATAATGCACATTCATAATCACCATCGAGATTTAAAGTAGGTGAGAAGTTAGTGGTTAATTTGGATCTTTTGCCAGTTACAGACAATGTGAAAGACATCGTGAAAATGTATAGAAAAGATTAAGTCCATCAATATGTACTAAATTGATCCCAAAAGTTGTGCAAAAATTTTAAACATAAATGTCCACAATTGACGCTTTTTTATTTTTGATATTGATTATAATTGAAATAAATATCACGATGACCGAAATATTTCAATAACTCTTTTGGTGGTTTTAAATCACCAAAACTATCAAAATATTCACAATAACTGTTTATTATTGCATACGCTACCCAATGCGTTCCATTATTATTATATACTTATTTGGTAATCTATTATGACTTATTTGGTAATCTATCTTTCATATAAACTCCTCGAAAATGGGGTATATTTCTAGGATATTACATTAACTCAATATTAAATAAAGCTTTATTGGGTAACTGCGAAATTAGTTTTTTGAACTTCTTATAAATAAACCACTGCCTTTTTTATAATGTTTGATATAAAGACCTTTTCCCAATGCAATTGCTTCCATAGTTTTATTATGACGTTCGGATTCTTTTAAATTTTGTTGTGCAGTTTTGTATTCATTTACCGTTTTCGCAACACCTGCCACACCTCCAGCTAATGCACCTAGAGCAGACAATCCCGCAAAAATGGGTATCAGAGGTAATATTTTTCCTGTCTTTGGAATCGGTATTATTCGCGGTAGACGAAAATGACAAGTTTTGGGAAAACATTTTTTAGCAGCTTCATATGCATACTTAATTGTAGCTGTTTGGCACTTTGGTTCCATTTTCTTTATTTGAGACTGAATTTTCGATACAATGGTCTTGAATTTTTTAACTCTAGAACCTGTTTTTACTTCAGCTTTCATAGCATTACTAACTAACCATTAAGCTAGTTTTTCACCTCTTCCAGCGTCTTTCGAATGCAATCGTCTATTAGCCATGCTGAGTAGTTCCATGTCTGCTTTATGTCTACTAAATGAATTGGTGTTTGTGTATGCAATATCATGAAATTTGCAGGCTTCGTCTAATTTATTGTATCCTTTATCACCTCTGGCTAATCTTTGTTTTAACTTTGTCCCTGGTCCACAATATTTATATCCTGGTAAATGTAGTTCGAACGGTAAACTGTCAATTACACTGTTGACTAGTCCTCCTCCTTGCATATCTGGATATGTAATGACTACAAATTAATTAACTGTTATATTATGCAGTAATTGAACTGCGATCAATCTAACTGTTTTCACTATTAGGTAGACCTAGCCACTTAACAAACAATTTATTTCCTTCTTTTTTATAACTTTTTCTATTAAATAAACATCGGGATGGTTAGTTTTTTGTAACTCTTCCTGGTAAAAGGTTCCTAATATTGGTTGACTCCTTTGATCTTTTAAATTATATGTAACAGGATCAATTTTACTGACCGATTTAATAATAAATAATTCTGTTGACCAATTCGGTGTATAACCCTTTTCAAAACTGCTTTTGTATTTGCTTATTCTAACAAAGTCACCTATTTGAAATTTATTTTTTTGCGATTTAATTCGTGTGTTAAAAAACTTATTAATATTGTTTTTACCTTTGCTTCATTTATCGAATTTACATTAACTGGTTTATGTTTAGTGACACTATGCTTGCTATTATTATAAGTATTCAAAACATTTTTTGAAGTCTATCCTTCCCACTTATAACTACCGTTATAGGTAAAAGATACATGCAATTTGTTCTTTAATGTTCTTATCAATATTTCAACAATATATGCTTTTTTTGTAGAGTTGAATAGTGGTTTATATTAAGTGACTGCATGAGTTCTTTAAACGGTTTATTGTAAAATTCTGTTCCCATATCAGTTTGCAAGTGAACAGAAAATTGACCACTTCTTTTGAAAATTTTTTTAAACGCATTAACAACACATTTTCTAGATTTTGACTTTAAGGGAACACCCCATGCATATTTGCTGAAGCAATCAATAACAATTAAAATATATAAGTAACCATTGTTATATTTTTTTAAAGATTTAAAATCAATTAGATCTGCTTGCCATAAATCATTGATGCCTTTTAGTACAACAGATTTTCGAATCGATCTCATGAATATTTACCTCGTTCTCTTCTAACACCAAAAGGGATATCCTCAAACACTTCCGAAGATAATGACCAAGATGAAACATCTCGGTTAGGACTGTGGAGGGACTTGACAGTTGCAAACGATGCATCACTGGTATTTTTTTTATTTTGACCATCGGGACTGTTTTCATCAATATTGTCATCAGAATCGCTATCATGAGACATGGATATGGAATCGTTACGTTTAAAATATGTATCCTCGGGATCTTTA